GTGTTACTAAGTGTCTGTTACTTTTCTCTCATTGCGGAGACAAAATACCTGACTCCCAGGGTTAAGGAAGGAAAGGTTTATTTTGCTCACCGTTTGTGGAGTTTTTAGTCCATACTCAGCTCACTCCAAGGCAGAACGGCTAGGGTTCATGGCGGCGGAAAACAGCAAAAGCAACAAAAGCAAAAAGGGATGAACAACGAGCAAGCCTCTTTCCTTCCCTTATATTGTATATAGCCTATCCACCTTACAGCAGCTGCAGCACTTATACCCATAATCCCAGCACTGGACCATGAGTCAATCTTAAACTCTAGAAGCCCGCACCCATGACTGCATGAGGCTTTGGGGGGACACCTAGACACAAATCATAGCACTAAGTAAAATAACTTAGTGCAATAAAATATCTTATTATGAAGTACTAAACAACTGTAGCTAAGGATTGGAAAAGAAGGTACAAATATTGGTGGTTATGAAGTATCACAAAAAGAAAGGGCTAAAGTTAATGAATATGCTTTCTGGAAATCAAATTTGTCATCCTCCTGTCTCTGCTTCCTAGAATGCTGAGATTTCAGGAATATTCACTATCCTAGTGTGCATTTTGCATTTTTTATGGAACACTTTATGCCGTTGCTAATTTTTTTTTTTTTTTTGTACTAGGAATCAACTCACAACTTCATGCTTGCCAGGCAGGCACTGTGCCACTGAGCTATGTCCCTGGCTTCTGCTCAGTGATTTTTGCAAATATAAATACTGAATTCTTTTTATTTTTATTTTTTACTTTTTTAAATACTGAATTCAACATGAGTGAAAAAGCATGGTTCTTACTGTGATTATTCCATATTCTTTAAGGTAACACACACATTCTGAAATTGAACACTAATTTAAAAAATACGTACACTTTTCGATCCACATATTAATTTCCTCAGCTGCAGTAATAAAGCCAAAAGTTGGGTGATTAAAAACAGTGGAAAAGCCGGACATGGTGGTGCACGTCTGTAAACCCAGCACTCAGAAGACTGAGGCAGGACAATCATTGTGAGTTTGAGGCCAGCCTGGGCTAGAAAGTGAGCTCAAGGCCAGTCTAAACTGCATAGTGAGACAAAAAGACAAAAATAAATACATACATAAATAAAAAAAACTAGTGGAAATACATAATATATCCTCTCATTATTTTAGAAACTGGAGTCAAGGTGTCAGAAATGCATGACTCCCTGTAAGGTTCTAGAGAAAAATAAAGTCCATCTCTGTCTTAGCTTCTGGTGGTTGCTGGCAATTGGCTTCTGGGCTTGAAGCTGTATCACTCCATCTCTGCTTCTTGTCACATGGGTTTCTTCTGATTACCTCTGATTACCTCTGTGTCTCTGATTACCTCTGTGTCCTCTCTTCTTATAAGCACAGGAGTCATACTGGATTTAGGACCCACCCTAATCTGGTATGGCCTCAACTAACTACATCTGGAACCATCTTATCCACATAGTCCATTATTTTTTGAGTTGCTGGAGGGATAAAAATTTTGGGGGGGTCATTATTAACTGAGTATAAACCCATTTCTAGTACACTTTCTCTGTGCTTATCTCTTCTACAACTCTAATCAGTTACAAGGTAAGCAACAAGCTGTTGCCTTTTACATACTCTTGATGACTTTTTATAAATCATGCTGTTAACATTTCTCTGGGCAATCATGAATTATAAGATCATCAGTAACTTATGAACATACATTATTTATTTTAAACATGCTTATTAGTCAAGCTTCATATATTTTATTGGCCTTTTTGCTTGTCTTAATTATCCTGCTCGTTTTGGGATTGCTTGAACTTCAAAGGTCAATGTATTTCTCATAACTTTAAATGAATTTTCTGGTTTCATTTTTAATAAGCTTTTCTGAAGATGGAAAATACATCGATCAACCTATTATGTGTCCCCAACCCCACCCACAAGGAAAAGGAGGTCCAAAGAGCATCAAACCTTGATCAATCACTTCATCCCTTCCTTGGGAACACTGTCTCAAAATTTTAAAAAGGGGAGGGTGTGAAAGTGTAGCTTACTGTGAAGACCTTCAGTTTAATTCGCAGTAACACACCGGTATGTGTGGGGGCATGTAAAGAATGGAAATGTAACTTCCAACATGCCTGAAAGGGGAGAGAAACACTTTCCTCTTCCATATGCTTATGAGCACTGTCATTTCCATTTCCAAAATATACCTCAAACCTATCCTTCTGTCTCCATCTGTGTCATCTCTACCTCAGGCCAAACACATGACAATTAATGAACAACACGTACCATTTCATGGCAGTTGAAGCTTTCGGCAATATGTGCCAAATAAACCTTCCAAGTATGGTATAAAAATATATGCCCTGGGACTGGGGATGTACCTCAGCGGCACAGTGCCTGCCTGGCAAGCACGAGGCCCTGAGTTTGATTCCTGATACCAAACAAACAAAAAGATATATATGCCGTGGTAGATGTGAAGACATTTTATACCTTGAATTTAGAAATTTATCCTGGAATTCAGCCACCAGATCTTTATTTGTGCAGTAATAACCATATGACATTGTGAAAAGATTTATTGCTTGGATTTAAAAATTAACCTAAATATCACATTTGACAAGTAGTTCACTAGTTACCCACTGATGTTACATTTGCTAAAAGAATACCAGTTGACCAGCACAGGAACTATTTGGAAGAAGAAAGTGGAGATTTCTAAAAAAACATTGCAAATTCATAATAGAGAACTTTAAATTTCAGAAAGATCTAACATTGGCCCCTATATGGCAAAGAAAAACAAAGTAGCATTGATACTGTCAATGTTATACCATGATGATAAGACTGATAGGGATGCCAGGTATTTTCATTGCGGTGCATGTAGGAATTATTTCTGCTGTTAGTCTTTAGATTTACTAAGTACGCAAACAGTTGATGTAAAAAACATTGGTGTTTATTTATTTATTTATTTTTGGTACCGGGAAGTGAACTCAGGACCTTGTGCTTGCCAGGCAGGTGCTTGTGCCACTGAGCTATATCTCTAGCCCCCAGGTGTTTATTCAAAATGTTCAGTACATACTTGGTATTTTATTGATATTTCATTTTCCTGCTAAGTGCACATCGTATAATAATAGGAAGCTCCTGACATGAGAAAGACGAGGTGACAAGTATGGCCTGACAGACAGGAAAATTAAGCACATGTGTGGTCAGTGCAAGTGAGACTTGAGTATAGAACATGCTATTGTCATGTGTGAAAACCTTTAGGTATGACAACTGAAGCAAATATTTTGTCTGTGGTAGAGTTTTGTTTGTATTTTCATTGTAGTCTATGTAGGAATTTATTTCTGCAGTTAAGTTTTTAGGTTTTGAAAGCAAGTAAACAGTTTATGTTGAAAATGTTGTGTATTCTAAACACTCATTACATATTAAAAATTAGTATTTTGATATATTATTTTCCTAAGTACATTGAATATAACTTAAAATTAGTAATTCACCAATAGACATACTCTTAAAAAATAAATGTATGTGTTATAAATCCCTCTCCCAAAATGTGCCTTTCAAAAAGTTTATCATGATGCCTGAGTGCTGGGTATTGTGTCCAGCAACAAAATGACTAAGACAGGGAGAAAAAAATCAAAGAGGACACATAAAGTACCCTGTGGTCTCCAAGTCTACTAGAAGCCCTATATTATGGGGCGCTTCCTACGAATTCATAAATAATGCTTCCGTATTTAATCTGGGCACTGCTAATTGTTGGAGCAGTTGGAACAACTGCACTAAACTATTTGCATGTCCTAAATATAACATCTTCTAATACGTCTGAGTTTTTGTAAATACTATTCCTTTGCTTAAACTAGTACTCTTTATGCCCTTACCTCACTGCTCCCCATTCTTTGGATAACAGCTGTGAAACTCTCCTAAGAAGCTGCTTCTGATCCCCAGGCCTTAGTGAGGTACACTCCTTTGTCTTACCAGCACTGGTCCTCCCTCCCCTATAGCATGATGCAGCCTAAGACATTAATGGTCTGTTTCTTTGTCTTACCCATTGTAGGTTACTAGAGTCAGGATTGTCTTGTTCACAGTTGTATTCCTATATGTTACACAGTGCATGATATACAGCTGTCCAGTGACTTAACAATGTAAGCACTGCATCTTACAGCTACCTTCAGAGTATCCTCCCTGAATGACCTGGAAAATAAATTTACCAACTTTACAGATATAAAATGGGAAGGATAATAGAATCAAAATTTAAAAAGTTAATGCTCCAAAGGACTTCAACAAGCTTTAAGGACAGGCTGGGAGCAGTAAGATAAATTCTAGAGAAATTTCAAGTTCTGCATTTAGGTTCACACTGTAAAGTACATGTCAAAGTGTCCTCAACTAATGTTGGAGAAATACAGTAAAAAACAAAATCTCTATGCAATCTAGAAAATCTCTATATAAAGAGAACAGAAAGAAATGTTTTTGTTTTGCTTTGCCTGAATAAGCATTAAACCAGAATGTTTTGCATATCACAGGCAAAACACTAATGCAACTACAACTCATTATATATACATATGACATTACTAGTTCTCCAGTAAGAAGACTTGACAGCACCATTTATCAAATACAATTCATCTTAAATTCACCTGGTAATTTTGGTGACCATCTGTGTTTGTTAACTGTCGCAAGGAAAAATAAATTTCTCCTACCTTTATGACAGGAGGTAGGTTTGCAATTTGGAGCCAGGTGTCTGCTGATGTTAGGTTTCTATCTTTTTAAGAAACTGGAAGACATGGGTATTTTCCTCCTTGGGGAAATGTTCAGGGGTTGCAAAACTAGTGAGAGACTAGCTTAGTGTTTTAGAAAGATTTATATACATTTCAAAGAGGCACACAAAGACAAGTATTTTCTGAAGTAAATGCTCAAAGAAAAGTATGTGGGGATGTCTTTCTCTTTGCAACAAGAATGAAAGTTTCCTTATTCATAATTTTGTTTATTCTTCCATAGTATCAGCCTCATTTGAGAATTTTATACAAATTATGAGATTCCAGTCCAGCTTTACTCAGCCTTTACCTCGAGCCCAGCAATTCTGAAACAGTTAGGGACCACCATGGTGGGGTGGAAGCCTGAATGGCAAAACACAACCCTGTGTGCAGTAAACTATTACTCTTTGAGGCATGGCATGTTTCAACAAACCAGTTGTGAGATCCTGATAAAACCACAAAAGCAAAATGTTTGCATGAAATGAGAAAGTGTTACCAAAAGAAAAAAAAAAAGGTACAAATAAGCTTTACTTGCTCCTACTCAACTTAAAATTGCTAATTCTGAAGGTAACAGCAGAGAAATACATTATTAGTTTCTCATTAGTTTTGCTGTAGATAACATCCCTGACATGTGGGCTATGACAACAGCTGCCGGCATCACTTCCCAGAGATCTGTAGGTTACTTCTGCTGAAAATACTGACTCTTCACTTGGGCCTGCAGATGTCCAATGGGTGACTAAAATGGCATAAAAGGCTTGGCATCTGCCCTTATGTTGTGTCTTTCTGTTTTGCTGTCTTAATCTTTCAGTCAGATTTTAATCAGCTCTGCATGCAGACGTGATGAACATTAATATTTTGCCCAAGATTATGATACAGGGTTAGCATGACCTATTGCTCATTGGACGTGGTGTTTCTTATGCCTCACCTCTGTGCTTTTTCAGCAGCTCAGAAACTAAAGCCCTTCAACCCTATTATAAGAATAGGACATTTATGCAAAATGATAACTCAAGTTGAAAGAGTAAGGAGCAGTTCCTGAGCAGCCCAGGTGACGTAACAAGAACAAGGGCAGGATATATTCCATAGGATGATTTTCCAGATAAAGGAAAACTCAAGAGCTTCTGAGATGAGCTGAACTTTACTAGTGAGTGGTCTAAGTCTACACAAAAAGAAACACCTTTTGGAACCTACTTCTAACCAATTAAAAATTACTGCACTTTACCCCATTCCAGAAAAGCCATAAAAACCTGTTGCTCTTTGTTCTGCTAATAGCAGTTTGGTCACTCTCAGGACCAACTGTTTACTCCCATAAACAAATCCAATTTGGCTTTAGACCCTCCCCAGCAATAAAGCTTTCCCTGTGCAGGAATGTGTACACCTGCAATATTTGACCCATTCTGATTTCTACCATATTTGCGTCAAAATATCCAATTGTTTGGTATCAATTTGAGTTTTTAAGTAACTCCTTATGAGATGCTAACACTGCTGGAAGTCTGTGAATCACTGGAAAGGACTGCTGACAGTAGGCTATGTGAAGAAGATCTGGGAAAGGTAATAACCATAACTCAATACTGTGTGATCATCTTCTCTGCCAACATGTCACCTTCATTAATTGGCAAGAAATTAAGACATTTAAAGTAAAGATTATTGGGGCTGGAGATTTAGCTCAGCGGCACAGCACCTGCCTGGAAAGCGCGAGGTCGTGAGTTCGATTCCTGGTACTGGGAAAACAAAAAAACAAACAAACAAAAAAAACAAATAAAATAAAGATTATTACACGAGCCTCAGTTTGGCCAAGATGGTAAAATCTAGATCACTTGCACATTAGAGGGGAACAAAATCGTAATAAACTGTGGTCATTTGGCTTTTACAATTTGTTCTCTAATGTAATATATGAAGAACTGCCAGACTATCTGGCAAATCACTTGATTACTAGATCAAGTAAAGCCAGAAAAGTCAAAGTCAAGTGAAACTGGATAACCGCAATTTTCTAGGTTGAACCTGTTTTTTTGGGGGGTGCGGGGAGTACCAGGAATTGAACTTAGGACCTTAGGATTGCCGGGCAGGTGCTTCACCACTGAGCTACATCTCCAGCTTAGATGGGCCTCTTCAGTTTAACTGGTTCTCCACTGGGGACCAAGTCTTTTACCAGCTTCTCCATTTTGGATGGAAATTGGAACCACATGAAGACAGACTTAAGAAGGAGGACAATGGGCTCTTCTGATGCATGCATTCACCTGTGCAGTCAAGGAGTAAGCCCTGTTCTATGCCAACAGGGGCCAGAGCCTGCCAGGACTTCAAATAGGAGAGCTTCACACACTCAGCTGAATCTCTAGGTATGGGGACAGAGTCTGCCCTGAGAAAAGTCTACCTTAAATCTGATGCACTCCTGAAAGATAGCCTGAATAAATTGGTTTTCAGACACTGGAATCTGATTTACTAGTTCTCAATATTCCTGTGATGCCCCCTAAGGCGTTATGGGTCTGCCTTATGCCTACTGGCTTATTGTGCTTACACTACAGTCCAGCCAGGACTTAGATGGCTGGGAAAGCCACACTTACCTTGAAAAGTTAACTTGGACCTTAACTTGAAAAGCCATTATAAGGAGCTGAATGTGAAAAATGTCTAGATAGGAATAATTATAAATTTTTAAAACTTGTATTCCTGGTAAGAGGAGGCTCGGAAACAGGAACCTGCTGAAGCTGAAATCTAGAAAGTTCTCTAAAAAAAAAAAAAATCAACTTACTACAGATCTCCATGAAAAACATCTCAATTCTTTGGGGGGGTGTGAAAAACAGGAGTCAATAAAGCCTATCACAACAATGACAATAGCTAAAGAAATATATTGAGGATTACATATTAATAATTGAAAAAGATAAGACACCAAGTACTACAGGTTGCACAAAACAGAAACTCTAGTAAGTGAGGCAATGCCCTAGCAGACATCTTGGCCTTAAAGATAGACTTAGAGAAAACAATGCAGAACTGCTTAGACTCTGTGATGACCTATTTTCAGATGTAGTAATCTGATGCAGAAGTCACTGACTAGAGACCCTCTCTTGCTCCTCCTAGCCCTGTAATTTCCCTGCCCATAAACAAGCCTGTGTGCTTTCTTTTTATTAGCAATCCAAAGGATCCTTTAAATAAGCAAAGAAAAAAAAGCTATAGAAAATTGAATGTATTTTGTTATGTTTCCAAGCTGTACTTGATTATAAGTTGATGCTGATCTTTCAACAGAATCTTTGGGTTCTATCAAATACATGCTCTTGTGAAGATTTTCTATAGCTTTTTTTTCTTGGCTTATTTAAAGGATCCTTTGGATTGCTAATAAAAAGAAAGTACACAGGCTTGTTTATGGACAGGGAAATTACAGCCATGCTCTTAATGGCTGTGTTTTATCTGGGGCATGTGTGCGTATGTGTGTGTGCTGTGGGAAAAAATACTGCTTTGAAATCATCAGTGAGTAGAACCAAGATTCAAAATATTCAGTTACAATATATGTGTTGTAAAGATGTAGTACATGCAAGGTCATGTTGACAGCTCTAGACTCCTTAGTAATTTTGTAATGCTAACTGGCTACAAAATAATTACTATAGCCAGGCATGGTGGCTCATGCCTGTAATCCTAGCACTCGGGAGGCTGAGGCAGGAGGATCGTTGGGAGTTCCAGACCAGCCTGGGCTACAAAGTAAGCTCAAGGCCAGCTTGAACTACATAGCGAGACCCTGTCTCAAAAAAAAAAAAAAAAAAAAAAAAATTACTGTAATACCTTTTGCTATATTAGTTTCCTCCTTATAATCCTGAGGTACGTAAACTATCCATGAAGGAGGTAGTGAACAGTTTAAATTAACACGAAGATTCCTAATTAGGAATTCACGAAGGCATTTCAGTGAGACTGTATTGACCATCAAGGGATAAACCCATGAGTCGTTTTAGGAAAGGCAGTTACAATAGATTTTCCTCCCTAGAGGCTCTCAAGGCACCCTACGCTTAAGAAAAGGGCACAAATTCTCCATTTTCTTATCTTCTTGGGCCCCATAAAAGAGAAGCACAAAATTTTGAACCAAACTTTAATGATCTAGTAATATCTCTAGTGAAAGAAACTGCAGTTCTAAAATGTAGTGATTTACTTAAAGAGAGGTACCTAATACTCTTCCATTTAGTATAAAGGAATAACGTAAGGGCACACTGTTCTGACTGCACCATCTAAACAAGCAGTAGTATTTTTTGCCAGGACCTACACTCAACTTTAAACGAAGGAGCAAATACCAACACTGCTCAAGTGGGGTTTTGTGCATAGCTTTCTAAACTACAGATCACTTTTTTAAAGTGTGGGTTTAAAAGCAAAAACGGCCTTATACTAAGAATCAAATGTGCATTCTTTACACACTAAAGCATTATTTAACTAGAAATCAGAATATGCACTTGGGCTTTTTTTGTTTTTTCCCCCCTCCAGAACATAATAGTGTTTTCGCAGACAGCCATCCTGTCTTCATCATCTTTGTTTCTTCTGCAACACTTGGCACAAGACTGGGCCTATGCTACTGTAAGATAAATACACAAAACTAAAAGGCAAATACTTTCTCCAGGCAACAGGCAGTGCCTGCACTTCTTGGACCAAAAGGCACAATCTGTGAGACTGTTATGTAATGATGTGTAATAATCAGTACTTCCAAGAGGTAAAAAGGTTAAAACCGCCTAGAAGCTCTGGGCCTGAGTTATTCAAGAGTGTCTAAAATGGGGTGGGACACCATCAGTACCTTCACAGGCTGACTGATTTTCAAAGCTGCCAGACGCAGTATTCAGAGAAGGTGGTGGAGGGGGCGTGATTCGGAGAAATCTACCCACCTTGGTCCAGGTCCCCAGGCCGTGGCTGGGTTGCTCAGCAATGCAAAGGCATTGGCGAGAACAGGTGACCAAGTGTCCCAGCAAGGCTCGGCTACAGCAACCTGGGGCTGGAAAGCTACGTACAAAACAAGCCCAAGCAGGCCGGGCTCGAGGGGCGCGCAGCGGCCGCCAGCATCGACGGGCGCGGCCGGAGGCTTCCTACCCGTGCCCGCCACGGGCCTGCTTCCTCGGCGCCCACCCGCTGCTCCGCTGCCCAGGAAAAGCGGCCGACTAGAAACGCCACCTTCAGCGTCTCGTTCGAGAATCCGTCCCCGAAGAAGTTCATGGAAGAAACCTGTTGCTTCAAAAGCGCGGGAAGCCAGCAGTTGGCTTTCTCACACTCAGCCGCGCACCTGGCCCAGGAGCCCGCTGTTCCCCTGTCAGGGCCGCCCGCGCGTCCGTCCCGTCCGTCGCGCCGGAAGTGCGTCACGCAGCATCCAGTTCCGGTGAGGCGCGGGCTGACTCTGCAAGCCCCGGCTGGGCCTAGGCTGCAGCGCTTGCGGGCGGGGACGCCGAGATTAGTGATCTGGAGATCCGAGTTGAGAGGGATGGAGGCGGGAATGGCTGCGAGAGATTCGGCCGCTGGAGGGGCGAACCCTTTGGAGCGAGGGCCCCGCTCGGCCTAGGACTCCGATTTCCTGGCAGAGTGCTGTCACTTCCGCGGCCTACCTCCCGGCGGTGTTTAAAGGGACAGCGCCCGCGGCCGGCTGATTCCCCCACTGCACCCAGGGGTGCCTGGTAGTGGCGGTGGCTGACCCGCCCAAGGCCTCACGGCTGCTAAGCGGCAATTCCAGGGAAGCTCTCCATCCCTCTGGAACAGACTGTGCTAGAGACTCCCACAGTAACGACGCTGTGTTCCTAAGAGCGAGGGCGCCTTAGGTGTTCTAATCCAGTCCTCCGTGAAGCCAGTGCTGTTCCTCTAAGACAAAACGGGAGTTCAGAGAGTAAACACCTTTTTCTGGGCTGCAAAGCCACTGGAACACAGCCAGAGAGCTTCTGGGGGCCAGGTCTTTGAGGATGAACTTGCACCCGGTGGGAGGCAGGGTGGGTGGACAGAGAAGGCCATGGCCTGATGAGTACCGCCCAGGTTTAAGTGAAAGAACGTGTATTTACATGTTAGCCTGTCTTTGCTGTGACCAAATACCTGACATGTGCTAAGAGGAGGTTCCTTTTGCCTCACGGTTTTAGAAGTTTCAGTCCAAGGTCGTCTGGTTCCTTTTTTACCTGGCAGGTGGTAAGAAGATGGCAGGGACCATGAAGTGGAGCAAAGCAGCTTTTCTGATGAAAGTGCACGTCATCAATTGAACTAAACAGTCCTCAAAGCGTACTGCTAACCTAGATGTATTTTGATATCACCTGAACTATGCGTACCTCTAGAAAACAAAAGCCATATGTCAAAAAGCAAGCATCCCTCTAGAGGCCTAAAGAGAATCTTGGAAACCAGGAAGTGTGCACGCAGAGCCTAAGACTGCTTTTCAGATCTTAAGCTTGATCTGAAGAATATGTAGTCCTTCTCAATTCCTCGATAGCTGGAAATTGTCTTTGCTTAGGGAAAGGATAACATATACTTTATTTTTTTTTTTTTAAGCCATTCACTAGATTGATAGAATTTATGGAATTTACTTGGAGTTATAGGTAATAAATTATCATTTGAGGGCCGGGGATGTAGCTCAGAGGCATAAGCACTTGGCTGGCAGCCTGAGGTCATGAGTTCGATTCCCGGTACCAAAAAATAAAAAATAAATTATCGTTTGAAGTTTAAAAGCCAGGATGAACTTTTACTCTCTCCTCTGTATGAAATATAAAATTGTGAACCCACCTATAAAGCTGAACAACCATATTTATAACACTCAGAGTGTGATTACTACTAACAATGCCCATACAAATTAATTTGTACATATTATATGTTGTAAAATAGTTTTTAAAAACACCATGTTGCTAGATATATAATAGATATTCGGTGAATATATGGTGTATGTTTTTAAGTAATGAAGCATAATAACAAAGCAGATACTTCTAAATCTATGACTCATTTTAAGACCTAGATTGTTGGATTTACTGTTACTCCTCAATCCCATCTTTCTAGTCATTAACTTGGAATTTATGTTAATCATTATTCCTGGTTTTTAAAAAAGTAAATTTTGTATCTACATCAATTCATCTGTACCCATTAAAAATATAGTTTATATATATATGATATGATTAGTGTTGCTTATTTCTGAACTTGATAAAAATAGTATGTCTTTTAGATTTTTTACTACAGCCTTCACTAATTCAAGGTTATGTTTCTAAAATTCCACCAAGTTGTGTCATTTGGTATTTATTCATTTCTTTTCATTGAAATAAAATATATCACTGTGCATATCCTGTGGTTTGTGCAGCAGTGGACATTTGATTGTCTTGAAACATATTTACTTGTTAAGAGTTTTCCAGGGGCATGTATTTAGGAATGGAACTGTTAGATTTGAGAGTCTGTGAATGTTAAATTCCACAAGATACTGGTACATTATTTTCTAAAATGATTTATGAATATACACTTTTGCCAATATTTGCTATTTTCAGAACTCTTAAATTAGCCAATCTAGTAGGTAAGAAATTATATTTAAGTAGTTGTTTTTACTTGATTACTAGTGTGGTTGTACACTTTTCATCTTTTCATGTTTCTTTTTCTGTGCCAGATTTGTTCATTCATGCATTTTACTTGTTTCATGGAGGTCTTTCTGTTTTTATTGTTCTCAGTTTCCAAGAGGTCTTCATATACCCTGGAGATGAAAATTTTGTCCAGAGATGAATGTATTAGATATTTGTTTTCTAAGGTTGTAATTTGCCTTCTTAATTTCTTTCTGTCTTTTAGTTATAGTTATCCATCACCCATTTTGTGTTTAACATATTTAAATGTCTTAATAAAATCTTCCCAGAGACCTCCAAAGTCAAAAAATATTCTCCTTCACTTTGAAGTTTTAAAGTTTTGCTTTTTCATTTGAAGTCTTTGCTTCATTTGTAATTAAATTTTGTGATAAAGATTCAATTATTTTTGTTTATGACTGGTGACTTATTTCAACAACATCTATTAAATAGTCTCTTGATTTGCTATGCCGTTTTTTAAAGGTAGTGATGGAGACAGAGCACAGGGCCTCTCAGGAGTCAAGCATTCTTCCATTGAGCTACATTCCTAGCCACTGTGCCATCCTTCTCATATGTCAAGTTTTTATGTGTGTGTGAATCCAGTTCTGGACTTTGTATTCTGTCCAGTTTATCTTCTCACCTGGATTTCCACAAAATTCAAGCTGTCTTAATTTATCCAGCTATCTACACCTGGCAGGATAGGTCCTCTTCTGTTTTATTTATCCTCTTAGGAGTGTCTTGGCTATTCTTAGGTCTTCTCTCTTTTATGTGTACTTTTGAATCAGCTTGTCAAACTCCTCTTCCATCTCTGGCTTCTTTTAAGTTATTTCTTTGATTCTAGGGCTGAGGTTTCACACAAATTATCCAAAGAAGATTTAATTCTGTTTAGCTTGTTTAATAATATACTTTTGCTTCCTGTTTTTATGGACTCATGACCTCAGTTCTGAACTTTGCCCGCCATTATATCTTCAAGTATTGCTTCACTGTCTCTTGGAACTCATATTAGCTGTATATTTGTCCTTTTTTTTACAACCTCTTTTTCTCTTCATTTCCTATAATTACCACACCATCTCTCTCTCTCTGCTGCTTGTGGATAAATTCATTAAGCTATATTCAGTTTCACTAATTTTCTTTCTAGTTTAAGTTTTTTATTTAACCTATCCATTGAATTAGCAATTTCAGCAAATATGTTTTAATTTCTAGAAGTTACTTACTTTTTAAAAAATAAATCTGACCATTTTTATAATCTTTTGTCTATTCCTTATTTTTTATTACATTTTTAAAAATTGTGGTAATCTTTTCACGTTGTGTTACTTTGTATTTTGTAGCTTATAGTTCCAAATCCTTGGAAATCTGAATCTATTGTTTACTGTTTCTGATGGCTCAAATATTGGCTTATTTCTTTGCATATATAATGAGTTAGTATGTGAACAATTTTCTAGCCTAAACCTTCCACTACTATGAGAGACACAAGTCATAACAATCAGCCATCCTTAGTTTCTTGGACAAGTCACTTTTATTATGTGGTAGATCCTAGAGTTAAGTTTTTTTTAATGTGTTTATTTTTTGGTACTGGGAATTCAACTTAGGACCTTGCGCTTGCCAGGCAAACCCTTGTGCCCCTGAGCTATATCCCTGGCCCTCCTAGAGTTAAATTTGAATCTGACTTTAAAAGATATTTAAGGGCTGGGGTTTTAGCTCAGCGGCAAAAGCGCCTGCCTGGCAAGCACAAGGTCATGAGTTTGGTTCCTGGTACCGGAGAAAAACCAAAAAAAAAGATATTTAAAAAAATCTTACCATTGTTTTCTACACTTCAGTCTATATGAATAGCCTCTTCATAATTTTGACCTGCAAATATTGCATTAAAATTAATAAGTGTATGCATTAATATAAAACCCTTAGAACAGTGCCTAGCAAATAGTAAATATTCAATAAATGTCAGCTTTTATTATTTTAAATTTTTTTAAAAATCAACTAAATCTACTTTAGTCTTATCTGAAGTAATACTGTGACATAGATTTGATGTATAACATTTATTTCCGTGAGAGATCACACCTATTAAAAAGTTTAAAAGTATTTCAGTATTTAATTTTTTTACACTATCAATATTTCTGCACTGATAAAATATGACATTTAACAGATGCTTAATAAGCCCTTCAAGAAGCATGTCTTTAATTATCTTTCTAAAGTGTAGTTAATAGCAAAATGATCAGCCAAGATCTGTTTATTCCTCATCTGTACTACTGAGCAATTTAACTTCATACCTAACTTCCTTCTTGTAAACTGAAGGTACTGATGGCTATTATAATCATTATGTTCTTAGCAATGAAGATCTGTTCTGAGAAATGTTTTGTTAGGCAATTTCATCATTGTGCAAGCAAAAAATGTACTTACACAAACCTAGATGGTATAGCCTACTGCACACCTAGGCTATGCTGTATACCATCATGTGTGCAGTCTGTCATTACCAAAACATTAAACATACAAGTTAAACATACAAGTATACTGAGTTTCAAGAAGATAAACTATATAAAATTTTTTTTTTCCTGGTACTGGGAATCGAACTCACGACCTTGAGCTTGCCAGGCAGATGCTGTGCCACTGAGCCCCAACTATATAAAACTAAATCCCCAGCCCCAACTATATAAAACTTTAACAAAATTCCTGATACACAGGAAAGGCTAAAAAGTGGTAACATTATTATCTTATTTCAAAGTTTAAAGGTAAAACCTCAGACGTTTCCCATTTGAATAATTCTCTGGAAGCTGATGATCTATGCATATATTATTTTAAAGATCATTTTCTCAGTGCATAGTTTAAAAAATTGAGGTGAACTTCTAAAATTAACTATTTCAACATGAACAATTTGGTGGCATTCAAAATGCTGTGCAATTTCATATTTTCAAAAGGAAATGTCTATCAGGACGTTGCACTCCAATCATTCCTCCCTCATTTGGTATCCACTGATTTGTGTTCTGTATGTGTGGATTTTTTTTCTGTATCTTCCCTGTTATTGGAATCATATATATTATGGTTTGATCTAATATGAGAATATTCCAAAAATTCTCATGTTTAGTGGTGGGTTCTGGTCAGAAGGGACAGATCACTGAGGGTATGGCTTTAAAGGGTAGATATTTCTCTTCTTGGTCTCAATCTCTCTATGTGTCTGTCTGTGTCTCTGTGTCTGTGTCTGTCTGTCTGTCTGTCTGTCTATCTCTCCTGGCTACAGTGAGATGAGGAGCTTTATTCCACCATCCCCTGCTATCATGTTGTTTCTTCCTTGGAGCCAGCTGACTCTCTCTCTCTCTCTCCATATATATATACCATTGCCCCAAATATACTTCTCCTTTAGGTTGCAGGTATGGGTGTTTTGTCCCACCTGCAGGAAAACTGACTAATAAAAGTGGTACCAGGAGTGGGATCATTTTGTGACTTTACTTGACCATGTGTTTTATTTTGTTTTATTTTTTTGGTCTTTTTTGAGACAAGGTCTTACTATGTAGTTCAGACTGGCCTTGAACTCACTTATGTGGCCCAGGCTGGCCTTGAACTCACAATAACCCTCCTACCTCAGCCTTCCAAGTGCTGGGATTATAGGATGTGCCAGCACACCTGGCTCTGACCATGTGTTTTAAAATTAGTTTGTAGGAGTTTGCAAAAGGTTGGAGACATGGGATAGAGAAGCTCTCAATTGTTTTAAGCAGAGCTTAATGAATATTTCTGCTCAGAGCTCAGAGGACCAGAACTGTGGTAGGAATGTGGACAGTAGAGACAAATACTATGATGTTTCAGATGAGAAGACTGTTCGAAACTGGACTAGAGGACATGTGTGTTTTGTTTTGGTGAAGAATTTGTCTACATTTGCCCATGTACTAATACTTTATGTGAGACTGAAATTGAATTCTAAAGCAGTCCACACTTTAGGCTGTGGCATGGGTAATTGTCACTGGTATTAACCAGATTTATAGTGAGAATTAGGAGCAAAAAAAACCTGAAATATATAAAAAATTTTGAGTTTTGCCAGAAAGGAAGCCCCTGGAAAGTTGGGTTGCTGAAAACATTAGTATTAATAGAAAGCCAAATATTTTGCATCAACACAATAGAAAAGTTGGTGCGTTAGTTACTTCCTCATCACTGGAACACAATGCTTAGCACCCACAATTTAAAGGAGGAAAGGGCTATTTTGGCCCAGTTTGTGGAGGTTTCAGTTCATAGTCAGCTGGCTCCAAGGCAGACTGGTAGAAGGGCCCGGGTAGAGGAGAGCTACTCACCTGTTGGCACCCAGGAAGCAGAAAGAGTCAGAGGAGGAACCCAGAAGTGAGCTTTAACAGTCTAAGGTCATGCTTACAGTGAATTGCCTTTTCCAACTTGGTCTTACGTTTTCACAGCAAGTCAGTTTTAGTGCTATTATAATACGATTATCTTCCGAATTTCTTACTTTAAGCTCATGTGGCTTTGGAGGGACATCCACGTATAAACCCTCCCATTCTGCCCCTAGTTCCCAAGAGACTCATATGTATCTCTTTATGTAAATTTCATTTTGTTCATCTGTAAGAGTCCCCCAAGTCTTTGAAGTTCATGCACTGCTGAAGAGTCTGAGTCTAGCATCTCCCCTGAGACTTAAGGCAAACTCAAACTTAAGACAAACATGCCCCCATAAAAATGAGTAAGTTAAATATCATCAGCATGCAATGGCACAGGGTAAATACCCCCACTCCTAAAGGAAAAAATAGGGGGATAGAAAGGAATGGGACCAAAGCAAGACTAAAACCCAGCAGAACAAATGTTAAATCCCGTGGCTCTATGTTCACCAGCCAGGACAAACTGAGGCAGGATGTGGACTCCAAAAGGCTTAGGAGGCTCCACCCTTACAGTATTACTGGTGATTGCAGCCCTCATGGCCGCTCTCTTGGGCCTGTCTTGCTCAGTCCTTGTGGCTTTCCCCAGGTGTTCCATGTTCTTGGCTTCTCCAACATTCTGTAGTCTTCACTGCACTTCCAGCTTTATTCTCATAGCTTCACAGCTTTCTCTTGAGTGCACACTGCCTGGCCTTCTAAGCTTTCTTCTGAAACCTAGGTAGAAGCCTCCATAGCTCCAAAGCTCTTAAATTCTACAGGTCTGTAAAGCCAGCACCATGTGTTCAACCCCAAGGTCTGCTGCCAGTTTGAGTAGGAGCCAGGCCCCTTTGAATTGTAGCTGTAGAGATCTCTCAGTGTCTGGACAGCCAAGCACTGTGTAATGAATCCTAGGAATCAATTCACTAGGCAGTACTTCTTGAGCAGGGTGCCCTGGAGCTTTGTCCTCAAAGCAAAGTCTTT